GTCTGGCAGTGTTCTTAGAAACATCTTGCTTAAATCTTTCTCTGGAAGTGGTGGGTGAACTTGAGATGCTAACTCTTTCCATCGTTGGGCATATTCCTTGAAAGATTCATCGTCATTCTTACTCATGTCCATCAATTGATCACTGTCTGGAGCCGCGTCCAAATTATAATTGTACTGCTTTATAAAAGCATTAGCTAAATCTTTAAAAGACTGAATACGATTCCTTTGTAGCTTCGTATACCATATCAAGGATGCCCTAGATAAACTCTCTTGAAAGCAGTGAATCATCAACTCGTCGTTGTCAATATAAGCAGCCATCTTCCGACAAAACATCGTCAAATGATCTCTTGGAAAACTAGTGCCCTTGTACACTTCAAAGACAGGCATCTTAAACTTCGGAGGAATAATTACACCTGGAACCAGACATGAGTCACGAGCATTAAAATCATATGTATCAGCTTCTTTTGTCATCTTTAATTGCTCTTTGAGATCACAAAGTTCTTTCTCCATTACATCCACCTTCATCTTAGTACGAACATTCTGAAGATTAGGTACATTTTGTAGGGGCTGGGAAGCTTGAACAACCAAGTTGTCTGGCACAGGATGAGGTTGAGTAGGAACATCCACTTGTTGAACATTGTCGTCAGAAGGAAGATCAAATAACGGATTAGTTATCATTCTGAAACCAGTCATGGAGTCCATATCTTTATTCTCTTTACTATCCTTCAATAATACTTCGAGCTTTGTCAAATGGTCGAGATGTCAACTGACAGATAAAGACGGAAAACCAAATGAGGACACAGAAGAGAAGAGACACATGCACATGCTAAATGTTAATGCATGATGCGAGAATGCATAATGCTAATGCAAGAATGTAAGGATGAAATGTTTCATGGAACTCAAGTTCTTATAAACATTACAGAGTACCAAAGAAAATCATTTTAATATTTTTATGTATATATATTTTTATTTTATCGGATTACAAATAAATATCCTCTTAAGAGTCCTAACATAATAGCTAAATAAAAGCTAAGAAAGCCCTAAGGAAGTCCTTCATCTTGTTTGTTGATTTGTTCCTCCACTTGGATCTCCTTGAAGGTAAGCTCGTCCATGATCAAAGTCTAAAGAGTAGTTTGATAGAGGAAAATAAATCCTCCATCCCTTCTTTTGCTCTTGTTGGAAAATGAGAAATGGATCCCTTGTTTACTTGGATCTTTGATGATGATGAGAGTCTTTTGAACTTCTAATGATCCTCCATGTTAAGGGAAGCCTTCTATTGATCTTCAATGATAAGGAAGTCTCTTGTATTTGTCCTTTGGAGTTTCTTGATTCTTCAATTGATGCCCCTAACTTCCTTAGGTCATCCAAGCTAGGACTCTTAAAAGAATATTTCAAAAATATTTTCTATTTGTAATCTATGTTGGTTTTGTAATGTTTATAAATAAACTAGGAATTCCATGAAACTTAATGTAATATGATGCTTAAATGATGCAACAAACACAGGTAATCACATAAGGACACAAAGATAAACAAAGGGGATCCTAGGTTTGCGATGAGCATGGAGCAAGGGTATACCCATTCCCAAAAGTTGTGGACTAAAGGTTGATTGTACCTGCAGAACCGGGTTCTAAAAGGTCCCAAAGTCATTAGTCCATCTATTGGATATTATCAATTTCCTAACTAACTTGAGGATTAATAATATTCTCAAGAGAACTTCTTTTGAGTGTAGCTTCACGTAGCACTATTTCGGGACTTACTCCCTCATAGCCTCGCACTACATCCTAATAAAGGCCAAAGTGGGGTTAAAGGTATCTACGGTCCTTAGTATCATGGACTCCAATTGAGAATAGTAAAAGTTTTCACGACTAAATTCGTTCAACCGAACCATTTTCAAAAGGGTCTCAATTAAGCGGGATTCTCGAATCAACTTAGTCGGGACTCACTCCCTATAAGCCTCATCGAATATATCACCATCCTATCTTAATTTCTCTCAAATTTGGGTGTAGGACTTTGTCTCACCACTCACAGATATCAACCCAAAAGAAAATAAAAAACAATTGTACAAATAAACAGATAAGCAGATAAGCAAATATAAAGCGATAAACAAAAGATAAAACAAGTTAGGGAAACCCACAAGCGGTTCCCCAGTGAAGTCGCCATTTCTGTCGCGGTGAAATTTGGATACCAAACTATTGATTAGTTTGAGTCTTTAATTCAATTTGCAACCGAACTTTGATTTGTCCAAAGGAAGGGATAAAGATCGAAATTCCCACAATGCAATGAAAATGCAAAGTTTAGATTTTTTAGGTTCGGGGGTTGGTTAAACTTAGGGAAGGTACTAGCATCCTAAGTTTCTGTAGTACTCTACAGGAACCTCTTGTTTTATGTTTGTTTATTGCTATGGTTTATCTGCTTAAAGGATTAGAGGACCTAGGGGTTTATTTCTAAGTATACTCGATAAGATGTCGCATCTTATGCCTACATATCCTTACGGGGGTGGAATCAGAGTACTTGTAGTTCCCCTAAAGGGTTAGAGGAGCTCTTCGACTGTGGTCAAAGTTCCTACGGGTTAAGGGTAGTTGATTGATTGGGTTTAGGAGAAGAGACGAGTCTTCATGTTAAGGGAGATGTAACCACCACAAATGTAAGAGGGGTTGTAGGAAATGGTCTTTGAATCGTCTTAAGAAAAGGGCTTAAGTACTCGGATGGTCGCCAAGTATGCCTTTATCGCTCTTAAGGCAAAGTTCCTACATGTTTGATTGTATTGTTGTGGAGGTGGAGATTATATCTCACTTAAGATGATTAACATCTATTCTCTATTTGTGTTTGAAAAGTTGTATTGTGTTGATTGTTTTGTTTCTATGTTGTAAAGATAAAGATAAGGTCTTTCCTATGGGGTAGGTCCTAATCTTAAATGATCAACTTGAATGGGATCAAGGATCGTGGGGAAATGATGCAAATGATGTGCAACTACACACAAGTGTTGACTCATGTGTAGGTTTTTCCTTTGGACGGATGCGATGCGGAAATGTAAATAATGGAAATGTAAATTTACGGTAAATAAATTGCGGAAATGATAAAGGGCAAATAAGTAAAACAATCACATACGCATGAAAGCGCTGAAGTGTGTGAGAGTGAAAGGTGTCGTGAAGTGCACGATTGTTTTATATGTTTACGCGGTTGGTTGATTTTAATTGGGATTGATTTTAAGAGAAATGGTTGAATAGGTCTTAAGAGGATTGATTTTGATTGTTTTAAGAAAATGTTTGAATTGGTGAAGTTAATTTAGATTAAAAAGTTTATTGATTTATTTTTTTTTTAAAAGTTGTTTTAAGTGTGAGATGATTTCAAAACAAAAAGGATATATTATTATTTATAAAAGGTATTAGTTAAATAAATTATGAAAAATAGTTTTTTTCTTTTACTGATATCGTTGCCTAATAAAAATTGACAAATTATTTTTTAAAATAAAAAAAACAAATGTAGTGATTAAAATAGTAAAAGTTTTAGATATTTAAAAAACTAATTAGAGAAAAGATTATTTAATTTATTAATTAATTTTAAAAGGGGATGATTAGGTTTAAAAAAAAGATGAGTGATTTAATGGGGGGTTAGTGAAGAGATTAGCATGGTTAGGGGTGTGATTAGTGGTGTGTGTGATATTAGTGTATGATATTAGTGTGTGATATTAGTGTTACAACAAAATAATGAAAATAATAAAAACAAATAGAGAAAACCCTAATTCCCAGGAATCCCCAAATTGACCCCCAGATCGCGTATCATCCTCTCTTCGTCATCGTCGATTCACTCTCGTCTCCGTCCCTCTCTCGTTCTTCTTCTTTCATCCTCGATCGCTTTCGTCTCCGTCTTTCGCTTTTATTCTTCTTGTTCTCCAATTTCGAATCTCCTACAATTTTGTGGGGTTTCTCTGGTTCTTTGATTTGGGAATTTTCTTGTCCTTTCTTCTATCCGTGAATCCCCTTTTTATAGTGTCCAAAGCATGATTTGTCTATAAAACATTAACAGAATTATACAAACATGTTTGTCCGAATTTGGAAATTTGTTTTAAAGCCTTCTCAACGCCACTTATGGAAGGTTCTAAATGCTGTCCGATTTTTGCTTGCCAGGTCAGAAGGTTTATGTTTTAATGAAGCTCAAGTGAAGGGACAAGTCATATTTCGTGTTCTTTTTCACCGTCTTTGCGATGGAGTTGGTTGGCGAAGATAAGTTCCTCTTTGGTCCTGTCTCATTGAAGAGTTGTTGATAATGTTGTACGAATTGGTCGTTTTAAACGAAACGATGTTATAAACTTTAATTATGTTGCTTTGACAGGTCGGTTCATGGAAAGCATTTGGTCGCTTGCAATCTCACAGTTTAACAGTAACACAGATGGAATTCTCACACGATAACAATTTTCTTTTGACTGTCTCAAGGGATCGCCAGTTCTCCATTTTTACAATCACAAGAACAGGTAGATAGTTATCATTCTTCTCAGGATGCAAGCATCTGTATTACTATTATTATTTCTCTTTTGTGACTCTAAAATACTAATTGCTCAATTGGTTTGTAGGAACTGGTGAAATTAGTTATAGTCTTCTTGCGAGACAGGAAGGACACAAGCGGATTATCTGGTCATGCTCATGGAAAGATGAGTATACTTAATTTTAACTCCCTTTAATTAAATTCATTGATCGTCTTGGTGAACATGTGGTTTTTCGATGCTTTCAGAAGCTTGAGATTGTTCTATGATTTCTGCAATGCTATAGCTTTCTACCAGTTCTTTCACTAGTTCTCCATGTTCATCAAGCTGGCGTCGGCGCAAGTAAGACTTCAGCTCATCTTGTAATTTCTGGAAGGGCTCGCATCCTGCCTCCAAGGCTAATTTGAAGAAACTAAGTGAAATTTTGTGCATGGCAGCACTTTCAGATAGCTTAATTTGGTTCAACCAATAGGAAGCCGAAGACAAGAGACTAAACTTCCGAGCAGTTGATCTAAGAATGTCAGAAACAGGTGTTTGGACTTGGAGTGGGAGACGCTTTGACAGGATTAGAAAGCCTTCTTGGCAGTTTAGCACTTGAGGATTTGCCCTTAGCAGAGAAATCAAGAACTCCCACGCTTTTGCTTACAATGGGAGTATTTCTTCCTCTCTTAGATTCAGAATGGTTGGTACTATTAGATGCATCTGGCTTCAGTTCCTTCAACTTATTCGACGAACACAGCGGATATCTCAGAAGTTTAGATCTCGATCCAGAGTTCCCAGAAAAATCAACCGATGATTGTTCGTTGATAACTTCTTCCATAGTTAATTTTTTTGCTTTGGCCAATTCTTTTATGTTTGGGATGATTTCTTGAAAAGCATTGTAATCCACTCGAATGTACATTTAAAAATATTGTAATCCAGCGTTTGTTTCCTTGGCACATGTACTTTTCTATGATTGGTAAACTTGGTGGATTCAAACTCCAAAATCCTGACAATCTTATAATAACAGGCTTGTATCTACGGATACTTGCAGATATTAGGCGTGATTCTGAAATAAAAGGACACCATCTTCTAATATTCTGAAATAAAAGGACACCATCTTCTAATTCTTTGTAACTTTAATTGTAGCGTTGAATTTGAAATAAATCACATGTTGCTTCAAGATTAGTTGAGTATAAGGTGAATCTCGAATGTGGACATGAAGCTTCTATTTAAATTCCTCAATTCAAAACCTTATGCGAACATTTAGCAACGAAGATTCGAAATTTTCCGCTTGAGTTTAATGGTAATAACCCCTCTTTGTGAATAAGATCAAGACCCTTCTTGAATTAAACTTCGACCCCCCTTATTTACAATAAGACGTTGTTCTCATGAAGCCATACAGACCAAATCTTGTCAGCAGATGTAGTAACTTATATTTGCCTCTTCGTGCTTGTAGGCCAGGAAGCTCTTGAAATATGAATGAGTTGGACTTTGTATATCGAAAATGAAACACCTTGATACGAAAAGCTTTCAAGCCAATCCTGTTCAAAATTTTAATCTCAATAAATCATGAAAGAACCAGTTAGTTAAATCCTCAAGTATTATCTTCATGCGAGATTAATGTGCCTGCAAAAAAACGCACTCATAATAGTAATAAAGGCATTAAGTAGAAAAATAAAATAAATAAAAAAAAGATAATAAAAACAAGGAAGCGGGGTCTTATGGTCAAAAATTAGGGTGCAACACAAATGAGACAAAATTATAGGTCAAATTGATTGGAAAAATGATTTTAGAAACAATGGGAATGTTAGAATTTTGATTTGAGGTCATTTGCATACCATTCCATTTCATTTCTTCATGATGAAGCAACATAATCAAACTCCCACCTTTGGCTTGCAAACAAGGAAAATAACTCATCAAACTCATTCAATATCTCATGAGAATTTGATTACAAGCATAGCCATACCCAAAGGGAGCCAGAATAGTGATTGCCATGGATGAGATTTTGAAAATCCAAAATCTCATTTGGATGATTCCAGAAGGTTCTAGACAGTCCCAATCACTTCTATATAAGTCATTGAGTGAATGCAGTTCATTTTTTGGAAGGAATTGAAGCTGGTTGCAGAGAGAGCCATTGAATTTTTGGAGGTGCAAGTGAGAATCGTGTTTTGAGTTCAAGGGAGAATCAAGCCAAATCAAGGTGTGCAAAGGCTTTGGGAGTGAATTTGGAGTGTGTCTGCATCATCTTGGAAGTTGAAGTGATCAAAAACCATCTCTGTTACCTCTCTGAACTCAGGTTGGTATACTTTGAATTCATGCTCAAACTATAGGGAGATGCTTAGAAATTCATATGTGGTTAGGTTCCCCTATTGATGTAGTTGGATTTAGGATCAGAAATTGGTGAATTAGAGACAAAATAGGTGTGTGATCATTTTCTGTTGAGGTTGATATCTCAAGATTCTTGAAGGAATAACCACGATGGGATAGTGGAAATTGATCAGTGAAGAGTGAGGATTGAATTGAGACCTTTAATTTGAAGAATGGTGAGATTCAAGATTTGGATGAATTCTGAAAATGTCATCGTGTTTTGAGTTAGAGAAGGATTTAGATAATTCTAAGGTTGGATTCTTGATCAGCATCAAATTTGGAGTGAAATGATGATTTGTTTTATGAGTTTTGATGAACTGTGGAGGTTGTCTCACTGGAGAAGACAGTGGCGCCACTGTTCAGGCCACCATCTGGTTATCTCCCTCCAGCTGATTCAAATTGGGGACGATGAACATGGGCCCTCAGATCATGGTTTGACATTTGACTCAGGCAAGGGATACACGGCCACAATTGCACCTCACACTCTGAAGAGAGATTTCCCAATGAAACGCACCGTTTCATTAATTGAATTGTTTTGGGCTTAGGACTCAGAGTGATATCCACACCCCCTTTCTGGCCCAACCCAAGAATTGAACTGATGCTCATTGCTATTTGACACGCTTGATTATTAATTTCTTTTATTTTCTTGTATTTTTCATTATTTCATATGACTTAGAGATTAATTCATAAAAAATAGGAAATTAAATCAATTAATTCCAAACTTTTTCCCCCTGATTCATGACTGAATCTAGAATTTTGTAGATTAAAAATATTAAGAATTAATGCATTTGTGATTTTATTTTCATTTTTTTGAATATTAATTGATATTAAAATGACCATGGTTGATACCTTGTCTTGCTGAATTTGGTTTGAGCATTTGGTGATGATTCTTGACTTGAATTTTTGTGTGTAGCTAGCATAGATATGCATGTTCCCCTAGTAATTTTCTCACATTTTTGTGATGAAATTAGGATGTAGTTATAAGTTGACACTTTAGGTGCTCTAGTTTTAGGGTTTAACTTTAGTACCTTGTGATTTAGATTTTATTTCTAGGACTTGGTGGATGATTCAACCTCTGGATTTTGTATGGTAGATCCATGATTGAATTAGGGTCCCATAGTTATTTTTGTAGGATTTTACAATTGGTTTTAGTATTTTAGTTAGGATTAACTTTAGTACTAGGTTTTAGGTTATCCTAACTTGCTAATTCAACTGGATTGATTTCTCTAGCTCCCTTAGATTAGGGTTTTGCTTTGCTTGCTCTTGGATGATGTTGAAGACAAGCTTGGGCTACTATGGAATGCATGAAGAAGCTTGGATGTGAAGATTTCCCTTCTTTTGGTTTGAGTGTTGTTTAAGTGTTAAGATTAGGGTTTGTAGATAGAGCTTCTAGATAGATTCTTTTCTTTCATAAACATGGAAGGTGTTGATCACTTACATTCTTCCCTATGATGTAAGGTACCCTTGTGAAGGCCTCATCCCTCATTTGGTAGGATGTGTGGCTCTTCACAAGTTGGTAGAACCTTTGAGGATTCCCTTCTCTGATGATGGAGTGCTTAGTGGTGACCTTTGGTCTTCACTCTGCTGTCCATTATCCAAACCCTGCTCTTGTTAGATGAATCTTTCTCCCCTGCTAGAGGATGGAGTTCCTTGCTAGAAGATTGAAGAGGCTAGAGGTTGCACTTCCTTTTGTCTGAAGACTGCCATTGAAGCTGAAGCTTGGAGATCAGGAAGAGCAAGTTGACACTGGTAAAGGGAATCCATTTGAGATCAAATGAAGAAGCTGAAGCTTGAAGTTGGAGAACAAGTTGATACTTGTGTGTTTGATGCATGGAGTGCTTGAAGGAACAAGTTGATACTTGCTATTGGGGTTGAAGCCTGAAGGTAGAGTCTGTTTTGAAGCTGAAGCTTGAAGAAGGTGAAGAACAAGTTGATACTTGTGTGTAAGGTGTTGAAAGCTTGAAGAAGCAAGTTGATACTTGCTATTGAAGATGAAAGCCTTAAGGAGCAGTTGAAGACTGAGGACCAAACTGCTGTTAGAGGAGCTTTGCTATGAAGCTGTGGAGGCTGTTGATCTGCTTTCTTTCCTGTCTGTTTGCTTGCTGTGCAACTGTATTGGTGTGACTTGTTTGATTTGCTTGATGCATTAGAATAAGTTCATATTTAGATTGACTTAATCTAGGAGCATGATTGCACTAAAGGTTGAGTTGCTCCCTCTGCTTGTATTGTTACTGTATGGCTTTGCTTGCGGGTATTCAGTAGAGCCCTGCTCCCTTGCCTATGTGGGTTGTGTTTTGCTTGATGGCATTTTATTTTATTTCTTCTGTATGATTGCAGTTATTCATATCTGGCTTGAGGTTGAGATGAGCTTGTGGAGGCTTATGCCCCACACACATTTCCTCCCTCACTTGCATTGCATGCATTTTACGGTCGTTTACTGTTTACTGTTTAAGCTGATGCTTTACCTGTTTCTGTTTATCATTGACATGATCCCCTAGGAATCTCACTTCCTTTGATAAGTAAGTGATGATTAGACTTTAGGTTGAAACCTATGCATGATAACTTCTAGGAGTCCCCTGTTTCAAACCTCAACCATAGGATGAATCCTTGGCATGACAACTGTTAGGACTTGATAGTCTCCCCTTAGTTGAACCTGTTTGTTCTCTCTTCTCATCTCAAAACAAATTAAAATACAGTAATAAAGGTTAACTGACGTCGTACGTTACGAGCCTTAAGCTATCTAAGAAAGGATTGTTGGAGAGTTTCTTTCCAACAGTCTGGATGTTTAGTATGGCACCCTTTGGGTGACATGCGACGCATTCACTCTCAGGTCATAGTCTCTAGTGCGATATTAGTTGAAAACATCCATAAAAAAACAGTTCTTCCGTAAAAGACAGAAAACAAACTTCAAACCTTTTTGCCCCGTGGGCCCATAATTCAAAGGAAATTTTTCTGAAGAAAAGAGTGTCGTTAACTCCCAGTTCTACCGCAAACGGTAACGCTTAAGTCTCCAAGGGTCGAGTTGCGTGCACCAAACTGCTGGAACTGTTTGTTAACCCTACTCGATAAAACAGATGAATCTGAATTCCCGTAATCCGTATTATCCCGAACTACGTAAGCTCTGATCTCTCAAGCCTATTGAGAGTACGTAGGCACAATACTGACGTATTGGCGAGCCACCTTCCCAGTTACCCGTAGTTAGCCGAACTACGTTGACTCTGATTTCTCATTCTCTGATGAGAATACGTAGGCATAAAGTGCGACGCTTTGCCGAATCATTTTCTTTTCTTTTCTTTTCAGACCAGCCTTGATAGGTAGATAGTAAACCAACCCGTCAGATAAACGCAAACAAGCGTGGATCCCATCGAGTACGATGGACGTGAGGGGTGCTAATACTTTCCCCTTGCGTAACCGACTCCCGAACCCAGACAATGGTTGCGATGACCTTGTCTTATACCTTTTCGTCAGGTT